GCGGCCTCCCCAAAAGACCCCACCCGTCCTGCAGCCCTGCGCCGCTGCAAGCGCAGTCATTCGGGGTGGGACCCGGTTCTTGGCCCCTTCCCCCGCCCGCGCTGTTTTCTTCGTGGGGACCAAGAGTTCATTCCCGACTTTTTCTTTTTCTTTTTTCTTTTCTTTTCCTTTGCCAGCCAACCAGTGTTTGGCAAGAATCCCCTCTAATATCTTCGAGTGCTGTTGTTCTGCTTTTTGAAGACAAGTGCACGCTTTCTTTTACCAGTACATTCAGCTCCTGGGGAGGGAAAACAACAACAAAAATCCCGTAAAATACATGAAAGCAGCTCCAGATACTGCGTTGTGGTTGCCAGAGACATGAGCACCGGGAAGAAGGGAATGCTATCCACTAAATTAAGTGTTTTCCAGCTTTGGTTTGGGAAGCAACCCCACCCCCACCCCCACCACAGAAGATGAAAAAATTGGGTGGGGGTTCGTGGGCGGAGGCTCTGGCCAGACGCTGATTCTCGGACGGACTGAGCGCGCCACCTAGTGGTGGATCATGGTCAAGATCCCTGCCTGGGGTGGGCCGGACCTTTTCTTTTCACCTCTTGGTCTCCCAGGCTGTACTCCTCAGACTTTGGGATTAACAGGGAGAGCGCTCTCCAACGGGGATGGCATCCGACCACCAAAGTTTTAACAAGACGGATGAGAATTTGAAAGGTCCTGGATGCCTGCCCCCTTACGCAGCTGCTCAGCAATCCCGCATCTGTCTCAGCTAAGAGAAACAACAGCCCTCTTTGAGAATACCTTGTACCTGTCGCTGTGCCTCCAACCCTAGGATAGTGGTAGAAGGATGCCGTCCAAAGCCTAGGGTCTTTAGGACTTAGACTCTTTTGCAATTAAGAAACAGGCACAACTGGGGACATGCTAGTGGTGTTAGCTCCCCAGTCAGAATCAGGTTAGAAACTTGCGAATGACTTAAAGCCAAAGGCAAGTTTATCCCAGCTCCTTTAAGTCTCCAAGAGAAAGAGCAGCAGTCCTAGCCCTGATTTTTCTTTAACCTCTTAGGTTACCATAGTGACGAGAGCATATTGGAAAAGATCTCCAAGCAGTTTTGGAGAAAAAGGTTTAGAAAGATTAGCCCAAGAGTTTTGGTAACAGACATGAGGATTTTACAGTGGTGCTGAAGAGTGGGGTGTCTCCAAGCTCCTGGGTACACCACCACTGGGTGGTGGCTATGGCCCAGTGCCTAAGAGGCTTGCACTGATCCTGAGCCTAACATGTGGTCCCTGAAATTCCCTCCGGCCTGTGCTCAGTGGCCTGGCGAAATGCCGAGGGTGGGCATGTATGTGTGTGGAGGGGTGCAGCAGGGGTGTCACGTGGATAAGCAGAGGATAATTCTCCAGAATTTGTGCAGCAGACATTCTTGTAAAGTTTTCATACTCAGAGCTCTGTGCAGACGCGCGTCCGCGTGCTGGCGGCCCCTAGCGGCGGCCGGCGCGCTC